CGATTTCCCGCGTGCTCGCGTTGAAGAGGTTGTTGAGCGTCTCGTAGATGCTGGAGTGCAGCGGCGGGGTCTTCTTGGTGGGGGCCTTCGCCGTCGGGGCCCTCACGCCCTTCTCGCCGCCCACGTCGCCACCCTTGGAGCCCCAGCCCTCGATGACGTGATCGAGCAGGACGGGCGCCGGCCGCGCCTTGGACGTGCGGGGGACATCGCGCCGGAAGCTGCTGACGACGCGGCTCCTCCTCCGGCGGCGCGCCTGCTCCTCCTCCAGCTCCAAGATCTCCAGTTCGAAGTCGTCGACCATGGTGGGCGCTGGGCCATGCGGCGGCCGAGGGCGGGCGCTCGTCGCGAAGAAAGAGGAGCGTCAGGGCGCGGGCAAGCGAGCGAAGGCTAGACCGGCGGGCGGAGGTCGCACTCGCACCGCCGCGTCACCATCCGGGCACTGAGTTACGCCCGCCGCGCCATGCTGCGGCTCAGTCCACTTTTGTCTTATTGCTCCGTTCACTCGGTCTTTCTGCTCTGTAATAACACGTCGCGGTTTCTTGTAATAAACGCCTGATCTAATGCCGGCACATAAGACACCCACGCGCCGCGTATGCTTACTCCCTGCATTAGAGCAAAAAATATATATACAGCTTTCGGAACTTTACACGAATAACATCAGGAACACCGGTGGCTCCATTACGCAACCCGTAAAAAGGAAATTCGCTGTGAAGAGAGAGCGAGCAATGATGGCAGTAAAAGACGCAGGAGACCGAAACGAAGATAAAACAAAATACTAAAAGATGGAGAACAATAAGTACAAGTACACGAGAAGAAAAGAAGAATCAATAACCACGAGGGTACTGCAAAACGAAGGAGGAAAGGAGGGGGAAGAGAAGAAAAAGCGCGGACGGATGAGTCAACAATGAGAAAGAAACAAAAACAGAGGTCGAGAGAGAGAGAGAGAGAGAGAGAGAGAGAGAGAGGAGAGAGAGAGAGAGAGAGAGAGAGAGAGAGAGAGAAAGCGTGAGAGAGAGAGAGTCTGTCAATACTCCAATCATTACAAACCCAAGCTCCAAGGCGAGTCTTCAACGCCGCAAATTCCGCTCCCAAAAATGTCTTCACTCTGGCTGGGACGTGAAGGCGTGTCCCCCCCCCCTTCCACTGCCCGTCCTCTCCCCCTCCCCATGCAAACATATATTATATAATATATATATTATATATATATATTATATAATATATATATATATATATATATATATATATAATATTAATATATAATATATATATATATTATTATATACATCATATATACATATTATATACATATATATACATATATAACATACATATATATTACATATACCATATATTATATACATACATATCATACAATATATATACATATATATACATATATACATACATATAATACATATACATACATATATACATATATACGTACATATACGTACATATACATATAAATATACATAAATATACATACATTACAATACATATACACACATATATATAATACATATATATATACATATAATGTATATATAAACAATATATATTATATATATTATATATATTATATATATTATTATATATATTATATATATATATAATCATATATACTATATATATATATATATTATATATATATCATATATATAATATATATATATATATATATACATATATACATATATATACATCATACATATATATGCATATATATATATGTATACATATATGTATATATACATATATCAGGGGTTCTTAACCTAGGGTCCATAGACTCTCTAGGGGGTTTGTGAGGTTTAGATAAAAATCAATCGATATTAATGTTTCTTTAGATTGTTTACTATATATATATAATACATATATATATATATATATATATATATATATATATATATATATATACATATCTATACATATACATATATCATATATATATACATACATATATCATATTATAAATATATATATATATATATATATATATATACATATATATATATATATATATATATATATATATATATATATATATATATATATATATATATATATGTATATATATATATATATATATTTATATATATAATATATATATATATATATATATATATATATATATATATATATATAAATATACATCTATACACACACACACACACACACACACAACACACACACACACACACACACACACACACACACACACACACACACACACACACACACACATATATATAATATATATATATATATATATATATATATATATATACATACATATATATACACACACACACACACACACATATATATATATATATATATATATATATATATATATATATATATATATATATATATATATATATGTGTGGTGTGTGTGTGTGTGTGTGTGTGTGTGTGTTGTGTGTGTGGTGTGTGTGTGTGTGTGTGTGTGTGTGTGTGTGTGTGTGTGTGTGTATGTATACAGTATAAATAAGAGAAAAAAGGGAATCCATGCTGTGGCGAAAGCCTTTCATCATCGACCTCCCCCCACCCACCCCTTACCTCCACCCCCACCCCCACCCCGCTCCGCTTCCAGAACCCGCACATGTAATGGACTCCCGTCTGCCGGCCGTCCGCTAGCAAGGAGTACTCATTCGTCACACTCCTTTTCCCGCACGTCACGCCTAATCACCTGCCGCTTACGTACTTACGTCATCCGCGAAGGTCACACTCGGGCCACACTCATTAAGCGCTGTCCCTTGTCATCTCACATTTACCATTTTTTACTCCGCACTTACACTGCTACTTACATCTGTCACCCTTCACTTCTGTCTGCTTTTACATCTGTCACCCTTTACACTCACACTTACATCTGTCACTCTTCACTTACACTCACTTACATCTGTACACCTGTCACTTCACTTACACTCACGCTTACATCTGTCACCCCTTCACTTTACACTCACACTTACATCTGTCACTTCACTTACATCTTCACACTTACATCTGTCACCCTTCACTTACACTCACACTTACATCTGTCACCCTTCACTTACACTCACACTTACATCTGTCACCCTTCACTTACACTCACATTTACATCTGTCACCCTTCACTTACACTGCTTTACACACTTACATCTGTCACCCTTCACTTACACTCACGCTTACATCTGTCACCCTTCACTTACACTCACACTTACATCTGTCACTCTTCACTTACACTCACGCTTACATCTGTCACCCTTCACTTACACACACTTCCACCTGTCACCCTGTCACCCTTTACTTTACCAACATATGTTACACTAATCTTATACTTATCCCTTTTCATCAAGTTTAGGGTCACGCACGTCTGCCGCACCTACATTTGTGACTGACAGTGCAAACTTTCACATCACACTTACATGCACTTTACACCTACAACACCGTACTTGCACCCTTCCTTTCCTTTCACCTGCCATGCCATACTTCGGCCCGAACAACAATTTACACACTGCACCCGTTCGTCATACCCGGCACACACTGTCAGCGTAACACCATCCCATATGTCTACATGACATGACATGTCAGCAACGTCAGCTTCTTCGCCTTCTTGCGTCGTGCCATAAGAACGGCCCGGATAGTCGTGCCATGAGACGAACCGGGAGAGTAACGTCATACCGACCCAGGACTGTAACACACAACATAATTATATCGGGATAATTATGCCAAACCGGTAAGAGAAGTCCCCAAACCGACCGGGATTATCACATCCAAATAACCAGGATAGTCACTTCACACAGATTAGGATAGTCACACTAAATCGACCGGGATGGTTGCATCACACCGTCTAGGAGAGTCAATCAACCGACACGAACAGCCCCACAAAACCGATCGGGATAGTTACATCACACCGATTAGGAGAGCCGCAAAAACCGGACAGAAACCGAACACAACAGCGGTACGGCGGGCGCGAGAGCTGCCGCGTGACACTTCCCAGTAAGGCAGCGAGGCGGTCATTTGCGAACGGAAGTGACAGTGCGCGCGTTCACATCATGTCATTCTCTGCCGTCGGTCACCGTGAGATGTCCTCCCAGGGCAGACGACGCGTTATTGCTTCTGTTTCTTTTTCTGTATTTCCTGCTTATCCTTCGTTTATGCCTGTCATCCTCCGTCTATCTTTTCGATTTTCTTTCCTTTCTTCTTTAGAGTTCCGGGTGTTTTGCTCACTGTTTAATGCATCTGTACGTATAACTATTATTACTGCAAATATAATCTGATTTAATTGCATCAACCCCTTTTACTTCGAGTCTTTTAACTTCCAAACGTCCTTTCTTTACTTCCTTCTCTGCTCCCCCGATGCTCTTTTTTCTCCCCCCCCTCTTTCTCTCCTAATTTCTCGACCTCCTTGCCTCTTCCCTTTCCTCTCTTCGTCGCCCAATTCTCCTATTTCTACCCGCCCGACCATCGATTCCAGCGAGCCCAATTTCGCCCCCCTCCCCCCTTAATTCCAACTCCGCTCCTGTCCCCATTCCAAGCGCAGGCACGCTGACCTCAATCGCAACCTCTTTACCGGCGGACACTCAGCGGGCCACGACGTCGCGCCTGCCACTCGGCTCACTCCCGAGTCCTCTGAAGCCGGCGAGAGAACGAGAGCGCGAGTGCGTGTGGGCGCGGGCGGAGGGCGGGTGGGGGGCGTGTGTTCGGGGGCGCATGGGAGGAACCGCTCTGCCAGCCTCTGCCGTCGGTGCTCGCCAACTGCCGGAATGAGCGGTTCGCCCGGAGGGTTAGGACCGCACCGTTTGGGAGAGCAGCGCGGGTGCGCGCGCACTACGCCCACAAATGCATACGCACTTACTTGTCAACACTGTTTCTGTACGTGTGCGAGCGTCTGTAAGTGAAGAGTAAGGAGCGAGTGAAGGATGAGTGAGTGAGCGAGCGAGGAAATGAGAGAGTGAGTGAATGAGTGTGAATGAGGTGATGAATGAGTGTGAGGGAGCGAATGAGTGAGTGAGTGATTGAGCGAATAGTGAGTAGGTAAACGAGTGACTGTGATTGTGTGTACGCGTTTTAAAAAAGCAAATGAAAGTTACAAAAAAATAAAAGGACAGAACAAAAAAAAAGAGAGACGAAAACCCCGACTCCCCCTAAGAAAACGCAAGCAACGGATTGGCTCCATCCCCTTTTCCTTAATGAAATCCAGGGCCATTTCCGTGAAGGGCCGAGAATGAGGCGGGTAATCAATGGCTTAAGCCCACCAAAGCCCCCCTAATTAATGAACGAAACACTGCCGGAGAGACTAATGCCTCGAGGAATGCAGGGGCGGCGCGGAAGACGAGGGCGAGGGCGAGGAACCGAGGGATAAATGGAGAAAATCGTGAATAAATAAACGCGAACAGAAGGATTAGGGAAAGAATGCAAGGAAAAAAAAAGAGAGAAAGCTTAAGAATATCACGTAGGCGGAACACAGCAACCAGAATAATGCCGCGACCAAACACACACTTCTATCCATCTCTCACCCTCCCACCCTTCCTCCC